TGTTTCTTTGCTAACTCTTTCTTTGACTAACTCTTTCCCTCACTAACTCTTTCTTTGACTAACTCTTTCCCTCACTAACTCTTTCTTTGACTAACTCTTTCCCTGACTAACTCTTTCTTTGACTAACTCTTTCCCTGACTAACTGTTTCTTTGCTAACTCTTTCTTTGACTAACTCTTTCCCTGGCTAAGTGTTTCTTTGCTAACTCTTTCTTTGACTAACTCTTTCCCTCACTATCTCTTTCTTTGACTAACTCTTTCCCTGACTAACTCTTTCTTTGACTAACTCTTTCCCTCACTAACTCTTTCTTTGACTAACTCTTTCCCTGACAAACTGTTTCTTTGACTAACTCTTTCTTTGACTAACTCTTTCCCTCACTAACTGTTTCTTTGACTAACTCTTTCCCTGACTAACTCTTTCTTTGACTAACTCTTTCTTTGACTAACTCTTTCCCTCTAACTCTTTCTTTGACTAACTCTTTCCCTGACGAACTGTTTCTTTGACTAACTCTTTCTTTGACTAACTCTTTCCCTCACTAACTGTTTCTTTGACTAACTCTTTCCCTGACATTCTAAAAGTCCGTAACACGGAAGTTTCTCCCCCTAAACTTCCTTTGATTACTCAAATTTGTTTGCTGTCGTTTTGCTTTTGGGTTCTCAGGCCCCCCTTGTTTGTATCCGAGTGACAGCTGCTGACATGAAGGTGTGTTTTGCCTCATTCGCAAAAGGCGGCGAAAGGATTGATTGGCGAAAGGCTTTGTGAAAGGTACTGTACATAGCGCGTCCTAGGTTTCTGCAAAGGCGGAAACCGAAACTGATTTTTCAAAGCGAAAAAATATAAATAAACATATAAATAATATTCAACTTCATTCTTCAAGAACCTGCATTTTGAACAACCCCCCTATGAAACCAAGCAGTGTGATCTTCTTTCAGAGCTCCACGCAAGCATACGCAACCTTTGACTTTGACCGATGAGGGCCATCCAACTGAGGACGAAAAAACCGACATCCGAGACTTAGAAGTTGGAGACTTGAATGACATGGAGTCTGATGTGCCTCAGCAGGATCTTCACGGATCATGGTTTCTTTGTGCTGCTTGAGTTTTGTCGAATGGCGGTGTAGGGTTTGTGAGATACGGAAGATGTGAGGCTATCGCTGGATTCGGGCCAGCAATCGGATGGGAGCTTTGAATGTCGGTAGGCCCACCAGACTCCAAACAGTTTTTTTCGTCTTGCAATGAAGCGACAACACAGTAATTAGGTGACAGTTTTGGATGTCCTCGAGTGGTTGTCTGAAAATCAAGGTCCAGCACCAAGCATCATGTTTTTCTTGCTGAACATTATTTTACATCCTCTTGGCACCTTAGAGATGCACAAACTATGCACCTTCTGGGTTAAAGGAGACCGCAGGTCTAGCCGTCTAGCCCGAATGGCCAAGGTACCAGCGCCATTCCTGGAACACTTGCGCAGCGAGCGCGAGACTGGGCAGAATTTTGGTCTCATAGTGGCTGACTCCCATGACCTGCATGCAGTAGGAGTCCTTCCCCCAAGGACCGTCGTCCAGGTCCTCGAGGAGACATGGCCGAGGAATTTGAGTTGGATCCCAGCATCACAGCAGCTGGAGGAACGACCATGGTGATGGCGACCATGGCTGTGGTGACCTTGATGCACCTGGGGGCCCCCTCAAGGGGCCCCTGGAGGGCGTCTTGAAGTATGGGAACCTCCCAGGATTTGTTGAGAGATGTTGAAGGACAACCCTAGGCTGATCATTATTGTGTTGTCAGCGCCTTCTTGCTAAGGCTTGCCACTGATGTTCGTTTCGAAGACTTCACTGCCAGTATGAAGCTGCTTAAGCATGCCCCAGTGGAACATAAGAATCACAAGGGAGCAAAGACGTGTTAACTGTTAACGTTTTCAAAGACTTCCAAGACAAAATTACAGCCCAAACTTTCAACTTGAGGGATTTGGGGCATCTCGGATTCGCAGCGGCCCAGGACTGGTCTGAAAAGCATGGCATCTTGGCCAAAACGGACCTGGAGAAGGACTCAGAACAGGGTGTACTGAGTGGGTGTGCTTAGCCAATTTGTTTGAATAATTGGAAGGTTGGGTTCCATGGAAGCAACTTCAAGCAAGTGGACAGAAGGATTGACTGAAAATCATTAGTTGAAGAGTTGAAGAGATCAGTTCAGTAGGAACTAACAGAAACTAACATTTTCCTCGGGATTTCGCTTCACTTTCCCCTTGCCACAGCTTGGCACCTAGGTCAGCACGGCACGGATCACCTGGCACAAGTTTGGGCCACGATGCTGGAGAGTGGCAGTCTGACAGCAAAGACCTTCGCAGTACTTGTGCAGCAGATGGTGGGGGCAGGATTTGATTGATAATGCTTATAATATTATAATTATAACTTATAGTAGTTAAATATAGTTAAACTTATAATAGTTAATGTAATTATTTTAAGTATTGCTAGCGCGACTTGTGAAAGATAAAATGGTTCAAATAGTTGGTTTTGTGCAGCTTGAGATTTCTGTCCTACATTCCTTCATGCTGCAGTTTGCAATCTACAGGCTCTACAGGCATTACTTCAGATACTTCACTCCAATCCCCGCGGCCATGCTCAGCTGCTATTGTGTGTGCGCGTGTGTTTCCTGATGTTTCCTTTGATGCGCGGCCGAGATCATCCGAGATCACTTGAGGTAGATCCTGGGCAGATTCTCTTTGTGACTTACAGGCGCTGCAGGGTTCCGAACAGTCCAGCAATGTCCAGCAGCTCTTTGACTGAGCCATTTTGGATTGGGTTAGCTCAAGCAGATCTGAGTATTCCAAGAGGGAAGTTGCGTGTCGAGGCCTGTGGGTGTAACAACATTTCCGGCACTAGAGAAAATGTGAAGGAAAACAGCCTTGGAAAACGTCAGAACGACAGTGAGGGAAAGGGATATGTAGCTTGAAGATGCTTGAAGCATCGTGAAGCCCTTTCCTTTCTTTTCCATTCTTTTTGCATGATTGACCTTTGTGCACCGCACGTTACTTCCTTCATGCTGACAGGCCCAAAGAGGCTCAAGACATCAAAGAGATGCTCGGTAAAGTGAGCAGGGCAGGAAGGGGGCCATGGCAGTTGATGGGTGGGTTTGAATTGTTTTTATTCCTGTAAGATTGTGTAGTAAATCACGCCTCTCGTGACTTCTCTCGGAGGACTGGTAGGGCAGCTTTACCCCACAGGTTGTGATGAGCTGTTTGCGAAGTCACAGCCAAATGCAAGTTGCAATTTCGACCGATTCAAGATAGCTAACCCTGCATGTGAACCGCAAGTGGCTGTAGGTTGTGAGTCGATGTGCAATTTCCTGGCCAATTCCTGCCCAAGGTTTGTGTTGTCTCAGCCCCATGTTGACTTCTTTGAGGAGAACCAACAGTTTCTCGGTAACACTTCGCAATGTCAGGTTCGAGGGTATTTGCCAAGGAGACGGGACTTGGTCCTTACGTTTTCAAAAAGGCGCACAGTTACGGCTGGGGGGAACTGTTAGAAACCATTCAAACACTGTCAAGAACCCTACCCAAACAAGCACACCCGGGAGTTTGCTTCGGTATACAGCTGATTGAGGCTACATTAGTCGACTGAGGCGCTACTTCCCTCGTGGCCGCAACAAGCCCCTGGTGCCTGATACGCTGCGGCAGCAGAGGCTCAGATCTTTCAGGTGCATCCTTCGGAGAGTTCAGGGTATGGGGTCTTGGAATGCATCGGCAAGACAACACTGCATGGCTGCAGGCTACAACGGACCATCTATACGTAATTATCCATTTGTCATGTTTTTATATATTTTTTGTCATATAATCATTTGTTCATACAAAATATAGACATATTTATACATAGTTGGATCAGTTGGATCCTCCGAGTGGGTCCCAAGTCTACCAGGCCGTCCACGAAAGCACCGTCAAAGCGGGCCGCAAGAAAAAGAGCGGCTACACTTGGAAGACCGAGTCCGAATGAGTCATATCTATGGCTTGACGACCAATCAGAGGCCCCATGTATTCTACTTGGACCTTGGAGCTACGCAGCTACTGGAATGGAACGAGAGCTTCTGACAATTCCAACAATAGACCATATAGACCACTAGGATAGTACAGGATTTTGATGGAATTTGGGCTGCACTGCAAGTTCACAGAACATGTGGAATCAGCGACTATGCCAAATAGGAGATGGCGGTGCTTCAGGCAATCCATTTGGATCCATAATCCACTGCAGTACTGGTAGCGCTCCAAGGCGGTATCTCTTCGTTGGCCCACAGCACAGGGCATTGGCTCCCTACTTAGTTATCTTAGTTTATCTCAGTTTCAGATATAGAGTCGATATCCATATCCTTGCAAGTTGGGAGTGTAAGTGCAGTAGTGTACATACATGTTTAATCATTTTTATTGTGCTAAGGTTGGCCTCTATTTTGGAACGTCTTCTCCTCGGGACCGAATGGTCAAGGGCCATCGCTCTCACCAGGATGATGATGATGCTTGTGATCACGTTCATGTGAAATATTGTGAAATGCCACGGCCGTTGCCGGCCATTGCCATTGATCACAACAAGTTTAGCTTGCAACATCTTGCAACTGAAATAGACTCGCGCCGTTGCAGCCTCAATCAGGTTCGACCCACTGCACGAGAATCATTTCCGCTTGGTCTTGTGTGCATGAAGCTCAGCAAGTAAGACTTGCCAGAGCGGGGCACGCCAGTGCTTGAAACATGGTCCTTTGTGAGTGGCTATGCGCAGCGACAATCAACCATTTCGCTGTGGATGGATGCGAATTCTGGATAATCTTTGGTGTTCTTATGGTTTTGTATGTAAACTCAGGCCTTGCGCAGCTGCGGCCTTCGTCGAGTGGTGCAGGGATGCCTGGAGTAAATGCATAAGTATCAACTGCACCTTTCCCAGGGGCAAAGCGATTCATTGATGGAACAAACACATCACGGAAATTGCGAAACTACCTAAACTGCCGGCCGGTATTCAATCAATTAATATTAATTAATTAACATTATGTAGTTACAGAACTTTCAACTCAGAATCCGATTCCTAAGGTTTCATCGCCCTGACCCCCAGCTATCCCCAGCTAATCCACCTACATCTCAGGCTGGTGCCCAATCAAGGAAGCCAAGAGCCAAGTGATGGTGCAAGCTTAAGGCCTATGATCCCACATTTTTTTTTCCTGCAAAGGATGTCACAGAATGTCCAATGCATCTAATTCCTAGAGTAGTTTCTAGAGTTTCATCCCAAAGATGACGACTGGAGTTTGTTTTGTTCATGGCATTGCGCAAGATAGGGGATTTCAACTGGATAACTGGCGGGTCTGGGAACAGGGTGGGTGGCGACATGTGGCGACACAAGTTGAACCCCGCACGAGATACTTCAGCATAAATTTGTTTGGCCTTTCACGCTCACACACACATTATATATAATATTTAATTATTATATTGATACTATTTTTATGATATATATAATTATGTATATATATATATTTGATAAAACATTATATACATATATATATATATACATACACACACACACATATATATATATATACACAGTATATATAAATGTGTGTATATATGCACATAAATACATAACCGCAACTCTATTAATATAGTTGTGTCGGCACAACATGATGACATGCGGATTGTGATGGCCAATGGCCCTCGGGATCCTGAGGCAATCCCTACAAACAGGGTTGTGCCCCAATGACAGAGCGCATTTGTTGCATCAAGGTCAGGTCCCCAGATGAATAGCTGCGGCTTCAACTGGGTTTCGGTGGCTTTTTGAAACTAATTAATTATTGGCTTCCAACCGTTGACAAAGTAGCAGATGGTCAGGCTGGTGACTCCAGGGGGGCAAGATAAGAGGCAATCATGTTAGGTAGCAAGACCAGTGGCAAATGAAATGGTTCAGAAACAGTGTCCCTATCCCCTGTGAAGCCTCCAACTCCAGCTACCAATGTCTTAAGTCCTATGTCAGGAACGCATCCGAGTTGCAGAGGAGGCTGGCGAAATTGAAGCAGGACCTGGCTGCTGCAGGGGCTGAGGGACTGCAACGACTACTGTACTAGGTGGTGCGTATGAAGGGTAGATTCGATTGGTTACAATCTTGACATGGCCTCAAAGTTGGGAGTGATACACAAGTATCCAAACATTGGCAATAGGCTGCTTATAGCTTAGCCGTTACTTGTATGGCTCAACACTAGCCATTCTGCAACACTATGAATCTGTCCCTACAGTTGTGCTAGGCCCAATATCTTTAGTAGTGAGTCCGAGTCAACAGAAGTCAGGGCAAGCAAATCGAAATCCTGCTCGACCATGTTTTTGGATTGGGAGTGACTTTAGTCCTTTATTGAATCCTCATGAATCTTCTAATTTTCGAAAGGAGAAGTGATCTTGAGGGAAGAGGCGGGGGCCAACAATTGGCCCCAGCGTTCGATTCTCAGGCTCCAGCAACAATGTCGCAGCATGTTGTCCGCACAGAGAACATAGGAGAGAAAGCTTAAAGTGCTGATCACATGGCTGAGCCAGAGGGGCCGTTGCATGATACATGTTGAACAAGATGAACAAGCCAGGTAGAGAGGTAGACCAGGTACCAGATCACGGTCACTGTGATAAGCGGCAGAATCATTTGCAACGTCCCAGGTGAGAAAGTAGCGCAAGCCGTCGAAAGCGAAGAGTTTGCTGATTGCACCGTGCCTCACTCAGTGTGTATCAAGATGTAGCACGGTTTGACAATATGTTTTGTTCATTTTCACAGTTGAATTAACCATGCCGCCAATAAATACAATGAATAATTATTCGGGAAGCTCATTACCTCATGGAAAGGTGCAAAGAATCATCGAAAGGATTTGCATTTGTTTTGCTGTAAACTGTAATAGTAAACATGGTGGTGGCTGATGCAGTGCAACCAGAAAGATAGATGGGGTGACAAGCATAACTTGATAGATTTCAGTAGGTCCCATCCAAATATGTGCCACCCCATGTTCAGTGCAACATTTTCTGCGTTTTCGCTTCGTTCTCATATGATATTCTCTGAATTCTGGGACTGGAACTGACAGGTAACTGCAAGAGTGGTCCTGCTCTTAGGGGAGGACTCTTTCATGAAGTCCTTGAGTCAGGCTGGGGTTTGATGACGCGTTTTGGAATAATCGCAGGGTGATCTGCCAGCTCTCAGCACTTTTGGCTAACAGCGGCTAACACCCTTCTGGACCAGTAGAGTATGACTACTTCGACTGATGAATGTGTGGTGGACTTCAGGGCAAGTTAAAGGTCCTTGACTGCCAGTCTCATCAGTCTCCCAGGCTACCGGGAAGCACAAGAATGTGGGCATTTTCCAGCTCTCCACCACCCGGCCGAGACGACTTATAGCAACTTGGATTATCAAGAAATAGTGTCTGCTGTTCAGTGAAGCTGAGGCTCTGAAATCTCTCAAATTTTTGGTTTGCTTCAGTGGTTTCAATGACTCCCATCTGCCCATCTATAGAAGTGGAGATCCTGGAGACCTGTGAAGAAAATGAGACGATGTCATGTCCTAGGCCGGACAAGTTGGGTCATCCTGTAGACGGAAACAACATGTGGGACCCGAGAAGCCCAGTGTGGCTTCGAAAGTCGATAGCTGGTCAAGACTGGTCGTTGCATCGAGTCATGGCTATCCTTAATCTGGCAGTGGCCACTTATCCAGTTTGGACCATTGGAAGAAGTTTGCAACATTTTGCAAGACTCTATAGACTCTAGCAGTAAGGAGCCACATTGAGCCCCGGAATTTGAGGATATTTGAGGTAGAGCATCAGAGTGGCTTGCTTTAAGACGATCTTCGAGTTCTCCCACAAACTAGTAACATCTAGTAACTAGCCAAGTGAAACCCATGATTTTTGGTCCGCTCTGGTTTCCATCTCCTGAGGTTTTTCCGCGAGCAGGTGATGATCTCACGATCCCAGAAAAGCTGCGAGGGCATGTGCAGGTGCCGCGACAGCGCTTGCTTTCTCTGGTCCTCCAAGTTATGGTTGATAATGGACCAGATGATCATGGTTGATTATCCAGGATTATCCATTGGTTATCCAGTGTTATCCATCTTCAATCGTTTGGAATACGAAATATGGCAGCCAGGGCATGCCTAGAGGCTATTTGATATAATTTGAGGGTTGGGCCACCTTGGTCAATTGATGATAAAACCCTGCTACTGTACCTGATATGGGCTACGTGAACATATTTGATGCATTTTGATGCACCGGTTCCTTGTGGCACCCCACATTCATCCGTCCCCCCTTGTCATTGCAAAACAGCAGCTGCAGGTAGCGCCATACAAGGATCTCGTAGACGGCTTGAGCTCCTCGAGCCACTGGCATGGTTTGAATTGACATTGATGGGAAAATGCAAATTACTTGTAGCAACTTTAATTGGAAAACCATTGCACAAAATCCAGTTGCGTTTGTTTAAGGGCAGCCGCAGTGACAGCAAGTCTTGGCAAGCATTTTGATACATTATGCAACATGTTCAAAAGAGGAGTTGCGCTGCCCTGAAAGATCAGGTGCTTGGTTGGCATGACAAATTTTCATAAATTTTCCTGTCCCTACTGCGTCCTGAATAGCTGTCAACCAAGGTAGTTACAGAGTAAGTTGGCTGATGTTTCTCTTCGCATATCATTGTCATATTCATATCATATGAAACTTGCATGGTAGGATCATGTAGTTATCAAAGAGGGCCAGCGAAAACTTCCAGCAAGTCCACTGCAAAAGCCACCGCAGGCATTTGCTGGGTTTGAAGGTGTCAGAGCCAAAACAGCCGCGTGACGGGTGACCCACCCATGTCGTGTCATGGCAGGAAAATCCGGGCGATGCTTCAGGACCCTTCAGCAGAGGCTGGTGACTCTGACCATCTCTGACCCAGCTGTACTGCATGGGTGACCAAGGGCCCCAAATCTGAGACACAGGTGTGGATCGATTTCCTGTTTCTCGGTGGTGGACCTTCTCGATCCCTACAGCATGTTCAAATTTAGAATGAATTGGAACAGACTGCCACCCAGACTTCGAGATTCTTGGACATATCCGTACATCCGTTTACGCCGTACGACAGGATACTGAGCATTCCCATCCATTCCCCTCCGTTGTGGCAAGGCTCCTCCATCTGAAGCACTTCATCCAGTAATTTGGGCACGTTTGCAGGCTGCAATGCTGTCATTTCTCAGCGACACATGGGATGAGGTGATATCGATGCAGCCCCGTCCAGCAGCACTCGTTTATCAGGTTCCTTTAGTACATGGCGAAAATTTCACCCGTGAAGTCTTGAAGTCTTGTTCATTTTGGCCAGTGTGGTTTGGCTCTCTGTTGAGATTTTTGCAACTCGAGTTTTTGGCAGGAACATGTGAAAAAGTTCGGCTCCATCGCCGAATCCAAGGATTGTTTGGACTAGCACCATGGGGGAGGGTCAGTCATGAACCTTGAAAAGGGATGAAAAGGGTGTTCTGGTATTCAATTTCTTGGATCTTCTTGGAAGGTTTGCGAAAGATGGAAGAAGTCAGTCAGGGTTTCAAGATTTTGAAGTATTCGAAGTACTGTTATTAACAAAATTGCAACTGGTGGTCGCTATTCAAAACACTTTAGATTTGATATGGTTTGATGCAATCTTTAGATTTATATGTATACTGTATACTGTATATTCTATAATATTCATGATTAGCTCTGTCTCTTCACCACAAGAAGTAACCTAGAGTTTTTGACTATTTAATATTGCGTCACAATGCGGTTGAAGGCCGCGTAAGGCACAGTGCAGCTTCAAAACATCTTTTTTGGTGACGAGGGGGGGGCAGGACGTGCCGAAAAACGTAGGCATACGCTGCCAGCATGCATTCTGGGTCAATCAAGGATAGTTTGACTTCAGCTCAGCACGCCCATCAATTCATAAACCAAGATAAAACATGATAAAACGAGTCGTGACCCATGACAACCATCTATGGTGTGTATTTACCTTCATTTGGATGATGTTGAGCTGCAGTATGCTAAGTAGCATATGTAGATTATGTAGATGATTTGTTTCAAGGACTGATATGATTGTTTGCATCATTCTGCAACCAACTTCCCCTTGCCGATCGTTTAGAACATTTGACCTCATTTGGTGAGCTGTCGCATGCTGTCGCCCGCATCAAACTGATCCGAAATCCTGCTGATCCAAAGGATGATCCTGCATGGAGCAGAGGTGAAGAGGAGGACAGAACGAAATTCCAACATTGATTGCACTTGGAGTACTCGGTATTGTTTGTTGACTTTCACTGCTCTGTTTGTTTTTTAAATTATCCTTTCACTCTTGCAATTAGTCCAACAGAACGTCCAAGCAGGTCCAAGCTTCCTGGCAGGATACCCTCGAAGCTCTTGGTCAAGGCGGACTGATGACAACCATTGGTTGCAGTGTTTAGATGACTTGCCGTTTTTCCGTTCGCCGTGTTTGACACTTTTCACACCCTTGACAGATGAGACTTTGTGAGAGTCTGTTTCAAAGTATCCAACGTCAGTTTATACGAATATGTTTTGAATATTTTGAATGTGTTTTTGTTTTCTTCAAGGGAATGAACACAATTATTTACGCCTGATGTGCATGCGGCATCTATGGAACTGTTCGTATTCCCAGACCTTTGACTGATGACATTAAACTCTGTGCAGCAAAAAAAAGGTGATGTGTGGGACGACCCTGCAGCACACTATGATGCACAAGCTCCAAGTTCGTGCGAAGCCCTGTGTTGCAAGTATCATAACTATATCATAACTCAATATAACTGACAGTTTACCAGACAGTTTACCATACTAGTAGTTATGACATGTTATGACTTAGTTTACCAGGTGAGTCGCAACATGACTTGCCTGACTTGCCATTTCCATGCCATTTCCGGTTTCACATGGTTTCACCATGTTTCACCTCAGGTCATCCCTTGAAGACAGACAGCAATCCCCCACGGTGCGCTTGCGAAACTTCAACTCCTTTGCCAAGGCCGAAACTCGGTTTGGATTTCACTTGGTGAATTTGGTGATGAACATGTGATGAACATGTGATGAAATAACATTGACCCGGTTGAAATACAAGTTGGAGTCAGAGATGTTGAAAAATCATGGAAAATCGACATACACAATTATACAACATAAGTATGCATTTTCTCGTTTTGCATACATATCGCGGTGCATGTGCTGCACATGTCAATGGCCCTATGCCCTATGCCAGTTTCAAAACTGCATCACAGATATCACAGAAGCAGGAATTCATTGGATCATATTGAATCATATTGGATCATGTCGGATCAATTGGATCCATGACGATCTTCAGGCAGTTCTTCTGGATCAGTTTCTGACGGATGTCTTGAGACAAGTCAGGGCGGCTCAAGTGGCTCGAGTTGGTGAGGAAGTCATGGTTTCCCGTTTGACAAGTGATTAGTAGTTGAACATGGTAAGGGACATGGTGCACCCTTCAGTTTTTTTGCGAATAAAACAAGACCCGCGCTTGTTCTCCGTTGTTATGAGTTGTTCTGAGAGTCCCATAGGGTCTGACCCATCCCATAGTTTCATTTTTTTTGCTACTTCGCTAAGGCAGGTGGAGAGGGTCGGTCCCTGTCTGTTTTGGATTTGGGCTGCGGCGACTGGGCTGCACTTTGGGTCAGCGTCTGATATACATATATATATATCAACTAGATCAGGATGTCATTTGTTTGAATACATTTGGTGTCCATTGAATATGTTTTGGTGGCATCATGCAATATGACCTCTTTGGTAAAGTCAGTCCTCACCTGCCCGATCTTGGAACGGCAACACCACGGAGCATAAGGTGCTTAAACTGGCAGAGATGCACCTCCTTTACCTCAGATTTTGCTCAGTTGGTGCGACCAAAATGTATCAAAATGTGAGGTAAAGGAGGAGACCTCAAAAAACTCATGAACTCTGGTCCCAAGCTCAGGTCCAGGGTGTCCTGACTGGACATATCTTGTAAACAGAGGAGACCGATGGGTAAATAAGATTAAATAAGTACCAAATGGATCCCTATATTTGTGATTCCTTCCCCCAAATGTGTCCATTTTGTTCCAAATATTCTCCAAATACCTCCTATTTTTCCCATATCTTCCCAATTGTTCTCATATCTTCCAGATGATTTTGTGAGTTTTTGTGAGTTTTTCATGGTTTTTCCATGTTTTTCCGGAAGTTGACACCGGGCCCAGGTGTCACCCACTACCGCGGCGTGGACGTGTCCTTCGCCTCGCTGGAGGTCTTCATCCAGCGGCTCCAGGAGCTGAACACGGCAGGACCCAGGCGGGAGACGGTGCCCATTTAGCGGTCATAGAATATCTTGGGGATATTGGGGATATTATGGTGGAAGATATCTTCCCATTAACTAATCATTAGGAACTATATGATCTATATGGTAAATATTATGGTAACTATATATATTCCCACTAAATGTGGAAGATATTGGGGATATTATACTGGAGGATCTTATAGTGGAAGATATTGGGGATAAAAAAAGAGTCGAATATCATGGAAGATCATTGATATTGGGGATATTATAGTCAATGTTACCATTGGATACCATTGGGCCATTTATATATGGGGATTGAATGGTGCAAGATGATAAATATGAAGGGGATATAAATATAAATAGTGGAAGATATTGGGGATATTATGGTGGAAGATATCTTCCCATTAACTAATCATTAGGAACTATATGATCTATATGGTAAATATTATGGTAACTATATATATATTCCCACTAAATGTGGAAGATATTGGGGATATCTCACAATATTATAGTCAATATCCCCAATATCATTGACCAGGATGTAATGGATAATATCACCTCAGATATTGACATTGATGACTGATTGGTGGTTTGGAACATTTTTTTTCCATATATTGGGAATAACTGACTAATATTTTTCAGAGGGGTTGAAACCACCAACCAGATATTGTATATAAATACTGGAGGATCTTATAGTGGAAGATATTGGGGATTTTACTACTCGCAATGGACATGGCCAAAGTGGGTGGTCCCCTATCGGTTTTCACACAAATTTGAACATCCCATGTCCACTCCCTACTAATTTAGTCTTCCGCTAATTTTGTCGGTTACTGATATAGTGGCATGTTGTAATGACGATGATTTGCCTCACCGTTTGAGTTTTCGGTCAGAGTATCCATACTGGAGCTATCTGGAGCTATAAACAAGATTAAACACTGCCTTTGCTGTCTTTGGTTATGCTGCCAGGCATGGTCTTTTGGGGCGCTCCAAGGGGCCATTGCAAGCAGAAGCCTCAGAAACCCCAGGAAAACTGACAGTGGCACTTTGAGTCAAAACGATGGACATTGCGGTGGTTTGCTGTTGACTATGATAGAATATGGATAACAATGGAATTTCGATAGAAACTTGATATGACTTGATGGAAACGATAGAATGCCCAGTTGTTGCTGGCAAGCTATCCTTAGTCCGGGATATCGTCAACTGGATTTGGGATAAGGGCAAGCGTAGAACTTCTTGGGCGTCCCCCGATGTCACTTCGTGGATTACTACAGAATTGCAGGGTGACGATCATATGTACATATATATTATATATATAATGGAGAGATATATTGAATGAAACACGTGATGGTTTCTTTGTGGTGATGATATGGGAAATTCAGTATTGGGAGGCAATCATGAGGCAACTGTATATCATGTTCGTGGGATGCTAGGATTCGTCATGATTCGTCCATTCCTGGGCTAAGGTCACTCTGGTCCATGCAGATGCTTTTGGGCAGCGGCTGGACTTGAGGCACGCTGGACGATGGAGAGGGAATGTGATGGGACGGCCAGAAGGATTCTGGAGGAATTTCTCGAGATTTGCAGTATAAGTCAAAGATTTTTGACTCGATCGTCCAGCATGGTAGATGATGAATCTCAAACACTATCAAAGCATTGTCCTGGAGTGTTTTTTTTCCCATAGAGTTTCCATTTGCCTGACATGAGATGCAAAGACACACACAGAGTTGGGTGTGTACTTCTCAAAAACGATTGACAAGTCAGTCAGGCCCTGTGCCAAACAACTTGCTTCTTGCAACTCATTTGAGCAGGCACAACGGACATGCGAAACTAGAGGGCAGACACTCTTGGCCCCGGACTTGGGGGTGCACAAAGATGATAGCAATCGGATGCAATGCGCATAAATCGAAGCTCATTTACAATAATTACAATCAACTTGGTCAACATGCTCAACTTGTCAATGATTGATCCACCTGAGTGGCCATGGCCAATCATGATCATCGTATACCTTGATTCTCCTGTCAGGTTTCACCTGGTGACCTCGCAGATGGCCTGAGGCTTAAGGGGAGCTTCGGAAGTCCCAAATCGCAGAGATCTCATCCCATCCCCATAACATGAGAATCATGAGATGCAGGAAGTTTTGAAGACGAAGGGCGAAGGTGGCGCCATACTTTGGATTGAAATGGTCATCATATGTCATCATATTCCACCAGATAACTGCCATTGGAAGCTTCAAACAAGTTGTGGCCAAGGCATGTCACTATGCCTTCAAGTCACAGGACTGATCACCAGCTGCACTCTTTTTTAAGAAAATGTCACAGACCTGGTTGGCACCTGTCCATGCATAGAGTACACCTCCGCTAGGTTCTACTTTCTAGATTTTTCTAGACCATTCTCATTTTCCTGAACATCCTCCTCATGTTTTGAGATGATTGAGAAGGGTGTTCCTGTTGGTGGCGAGTTGTGAGATGTCGTGAAAGCTTTGTGATAAATGCTGAGTCAGAACCACCGACCCACCGACCGACTGCATTGGCACCTTGGAACAAGGAGTCTCTGGAGATCATGCTAGACAATGTCACTTGGCAGCAGCTAGACATCAGCTTTGGGAGACGTGGCAAAAGTGGCCGGGGCGTGTGGGGGTTTGGAACTGTCTTGCCTGATATAATTGCAGCATGTATTGACATCAACAGTGTAAGAGGGTCGACGATCAAACATTCTTCATCTATTTGAGCTGCTGACTCTGCTGAAGTCATGGCAGCGGCTCAGAAGTTAGGTTGGAATCTGGATGCCAGCTACCGTTTGCTGGCATAAATCGCAAATATATGATACGCAGAAGCACGAGATGACTGTTCTCCAAGGTTGCTAGCAGCTTGTGTGCTGGCGGCTACTTTGTAGCAACTGTTCCGGACCCTTCCAGGAGGGGACATCAGGGTGACCAGATGTGACCAGGACCTTTGCAAAAAAAGTTCAGGCTCTTCCGAATATCCCCAAGTCCCCAATGACGATATCGTCATCGCAGGATCATTGCCGCGCAGCGGGCCGCCCTGGCGCAGGCGCAGCATAGTATCAGCCGGACAGCCACCTGATGCCACCTGCCATTTTCTGCCAAAGGGGGTAGCTGCCAGGGACAGCCGTTTGGCCGACTTGGAAATCGGCTCTTTGGGATCGAGTTTTCGGAAGAGGTTGGGCATTGCGCGGCGTTGGGGTGCCTTTGCAGCTGCTTCGTTCCACGAACTAGCTGCTACATCTGCTACTAGCTATTGGCGCAGAGAGATCTTGAGACATTCTGCAATACTGACATATCTGAAATTAGTCCAGAGAACGTTCCACATGTGTGACATGTGATCTTAGTTGGCTTCCATCACGTATGATTGTTGGATACTGTTGGGATTTTCAAAAGTGCATGCAGTTTGTCTAAGCCGGATTGATTTCATTCTTCTCAGCCATGCCTCAAGCCCGGAGAACTTAAATATACCTAAATCATTAGTGTGAATAGCATCTTAAATGTCCAGTTACGTTCAGTTGTACCCAATGTTCAGAACCTGATGAGGTGATCTGATACATGTTACATGTTTTACTCACCTGTGACTTGTGGGTGACCTGTGCCAGGAGTGGTCCAAAGTGTCCTCCGCTTCAGCCCTTTGGGAAGCATCCACTGCGGTGGCAAGTGACCGCCGTGCCTTTGGTGTGATGTACACGCCACTCGGCAGCTGTGAAACTGATATGGAACCTGACAATCGTAGTTTTTGAATGATTTGGGGTGGAACTATTGTGGAACTGTGGAACATCACAATGTGAGCATCTCGCTTCAAGGCATCACAAGGCCTCTAGAGATACAGTATGATACAGTACTGTACACCAAAGTGATGACACAACAGGCACAGAGTGACTCAATTGAGGTAGGTGACTTGGTGACTCTACTTTTTTTTTGCGGGATGGATCATGATGGATCTGTTGTTTCTCCTTGAAACCTACACGAACTTGTTTAAACACAGCTGTCTCGAAGTGAACCTCATGTTATGTTTAGGAGATCCAATCGCATGCTGCTTGAGCATTGCGTCAGTAAGCTACTGAATCTATTTAATCTATGTCAATTTATGTTATCTAGATTTATCTAGAGATACCTAGAGTAGTTGCTTATGTTGCTTGAAGGGAAGTAAACCAATCGCCTAGGACATGAGTGTTTTACTCAAGCGTTGCTGCCCTATATCCATTGATCTCGTCGGGGCAAGCCCAGGTTTCATTTGGTGGATGCGGTTGACGAGACTTGGTGTCATTCAAGTTAGGGGGGCAGGGCGGCACATAAAATCAAGGTTTGAAATCATTGCAAAGAGGTCGTAAGACTGGAAGCACTCTAATTTCTCTCGCCAGGTTTGTCTTCTTTCTTCGTGGACGACCCTACGAAATGAATGATGTCATGTACAACACAGAGCTTACTGGCACTGTCGTTATTGTATAATTATACATACAGGATTGAGCATGACCACACGCACACAGGGTAGGGTGCCAGATTCTCATCATCCCCCAGCTCCCATGACATGGTGTTTGCTTCTTTGGACATTTGCAGCCCTGAGCATCCCTGAGCGATGGCCAATCTGCGTTTGTACTGAGTCCTGTTTGGAACCGCTGGTCCATTTTCCAAGCCTCAAGATGCTGGCTGAAGCGAAGGTGTCGTGAGCTTTGGATTTCAATGGATTTCAGATACTTATGCTATACTGACTATGACTACTATACTATACTATGAGGTCTTCATTTGGGAACATTTCCATACATTTCCAGGTAATACTTTGGAGACAATCAACTTCTGGACACTTTGGATAGTACACTGCCTTGGCTGTCCCTTAAGCCTTGAACTGTAGCTAAATTGAATAGCTCTGATAGCTCTGAGCATCCAATGACCCTGGATTTTGCTGCTGGTGCCCTGCAGGGATTGGAGCTTTGTCTTGCTCCGATGCCGTTAAGCCAGCTGGTGCTGCGTGAAGGGAAAGCAGAGTTGGGACGACTTCGGCGCATTTATGCTTTTGCAGGCTGGCAACAGACGGGATTGCTTGAGGTACTGTCAGGTACTGTACGAATCTATAGTACAGCCTGTGCCTATTCATGCCGATAGCCTCACGGTGTTATATTTTGAGGATGTCCAAACAATTTGCATTTTTTTTTTACATGAATGTCTTTCACAGAATTCTTGGAGATGAGCAATCTGGAGCCAGCAATCCATTGTCCGGTTTCATTGAGGGTGACGCAGTTCCCTGGCACCTTTGGCAATATGATAGTAAGATACTGTAAGGCTTACTGTAAGGTCTGTAAGTGGATTGAGTTATATATGTAGAGGATGTCACAATGTGACATAAGACATATAGATATACATAGATGCTGGAAAACAATGGAAAACAATGGAAAACAATGGAAAACAATGGAAAACAATGGAGTCTCAAAGCACCTCAGAAAATGATCCAAAGAGCTGGGCTGTGTGGCGACCTGGCAGGCGGTATTTCTTTAGAGTCAGCTGAGGTCCCGTTCTGGCGGAGTTTTGGCATGTGGGAAACAAAGTGAAAAAATCAGATCGGAATTGAAAGACCCGTAAAGACCCAATTAAACGCATACAGTAAAACAGTAAAACAGTCAATCAATATTAACTAATTATACTAATTATACTAATTACTGTATATCTACCGGGAGCTTCTTACAGTGGCATTGAAACAACTGTACGAGTTTTTGCGGCTCCTTCAAGGTGACTGGGAGGGGTCCAGCCTGTCCGGTGCTGCGCAGCATACGCAGGCAAAGGAGCAGCGCGAGGCCATGGAGTTCTACATGGCGTTCGCCTTTCGCAAAAAAGAGGCGCAACCGGGTTCCAAAGGTCGACGGTTGAACGTGTTGAAAGGCATATTTGTATATATTTGTGACGATTGTGGTTGCACGAGTAGCAACTTGATTTGACTACACTGTGCCTATACTTGTACTTGGCGTCATTGTTGCCAGAAAGCTTGTAGGTTTCCGTTTCATTGTGTTCTCAGCTTATATCTCCTGATGTGTTCGCCTTTGCTATACTGCACAGCGGGCATATGGGCCACTTTTTTGCCTGCCAAGCTTAGACCAACCCCGTGTTTGAACCAAGATATACCAAGACCAAGACATCATCCATGTTCAGGCACCAGGTTTGCCAACCTGTCACGAAGTGGCTGAGAGTCCGATTGCCAAGCAGATTCCCAGCTCTGTGCCATGTGTCACCCGTATAATGACTACTACAGGACAGTCAATGATATGGGAGATAGAGCTTACACTATTTATAAGTGGGGAGCCATTTATTTAGGATTTTGCTTCTTTTAGTTTAGGGATTTATTTTTGGATTCCTCCTCTCTACTGTCCTGCTCTTTTGCTTCTCTGCTTCTCTCCGCTTCTCTGCTTTATCTGCTTCTCTGCTTTTCTGTTGTTTTTTGCTTTCTGTTTTTTTTTGCTTTTTCTTTACATTTCTCTGTTTTTTTTTGCTTTCCTGCTTTTCTGCTTTGTTGTTGTTTTTTTTTGCATCTTTGCTTTTCTGTTTCTTTCTTCTCTGCTTGAATTTTGTTTTCTGCTTTTCTGCTTCTACGCTTCTCCTTTTTTTTTGCTTCTCGGCTTTTCTGCTTTTTTGTTTCTCTGCTTTGTTGCTTCGATTCTCTGCTTTTTTTTGTTTGCTTCTCTGCTTCTTTGCTTCTCTGTTTTCCTCTTTGATTTTAGTTTCTATGTGTTTTGTTTGTCTGCTTTGCATTGTTTTTTGCTTTTCTGCCTTCGCTGCTTTTTGCTTTTCTACTTGCTTCCTTGTTCTTTTGCTTGATTACAAGTGCAACTACAGCTACATTAAGCATAACACCAGCAGCACAAACAATAAGAGCAGCAAAAACAAAGGAACCCCAAGAACAACAAAAGCAACAACAAGAACAAGAACAGCAACAACAAGAACAAGAACAACAACAAAGCAACTACAGCGGCAAAGGAGGAACACAACTAGGAAAGAAGTTGTCTCTGTGTTCCTTGGGGGGGAGTCGCTGCGCCCTCTCCGATGCCCCCCTCCAGCTGTTTCTAGTTTATTGTTTCGCGTGCTTTCATTTTTGACCTTATAGTCTCTTTGCGTTGATATAAAGACAAAGATGTAAATCATATAAATGGTTAACAAGTTAAGGTTTCGCAATGCTTCAAGATGCTTCAAGTATATCCAAAAGGGACTGTCGTCATGCAAAGTGGAAGGTTGAAGTTCAAACGTGCTGCAATTATCACCTGCAAAACTCCTGCAATACCATGCAACTCGAAAGGGTACTTCCACAACGCAGGGCGATGTTGCAGAATGCTGAACATATTGCACACACCACGCAAACTCTTTTTGTTGTTTCTTTGCTTTTTCGGCCTTGATGGTTTTGCCAGCTTTTTTCTTTCTTCTTGACTTTGCAAAGTTTTAATTCAAGGCTTCTTGATTTCATGGCTTTGTTGGTGTCACAGCAACCAAAGCCACAAACATAAGGCAATCACAAACACTGCCTACACCCAAACAAAGACCACACCATTAGCAGTTGTTGGTGTGTTCCTCCAGCTACACCAACCCACAACTAACAGACAACAACCAACAACCAACAACGGCTTGCAAGTAGCATGCCAAATGCAAGATTTCATCTCCAAAATGCTGCAAATAGCAAGCAAAATGAAAGGTTCCAGCTCTAAAATGTTGCAAATACTCGTAGCATGCGCTCCAACATGTTGCAAATTTCGTGCAAAATGGAAGGTTCCAGCTCCAAAATGCTACAAATAGCAAGCAAAATGGAAGGTTCCAGCTCTAAACTGCTGCTAATAGCAAGCAAAATGGAAGATTCCAGCTCCGCAAATAGGACGGAAAACAGGCACACCAGAAACATTGAATAACAACTAAACTATAAAAAAATCATTCCCTAGACAATTTCCCACCTGCTAAAGTGGGTTCCGCCCTCCAGATCAATTTAACCATACGTAATACTACTAGTGGGTTCCGCTTGGAATCCAAGTGAAATTAGTTGCGATAGCCAGACTTCACTCAATGTTGAGCACCTCGTTTGATGCAACTATGCACAAGATGCACAAGCCAGATTAGCAGATGAAGATGGATCAGATTGGAAGCCTTAACACACTTGCTCATCCTCTGACTCATTCACTTGGATCAGATCAGATATCCCTTGTACTTCCCCCTTCTACCAGCTGGAATGGATTATGATTCATTCTTGGATTTGACAAACATCGCTAATTATACAGAGAAATGGTTTGGTCCCTAAGTGATCCTGAGTGTGGATTTGTGAAAGCACCAGCCTTCTCACTTGAACACGACCTCGGTTTAGTGTGTAGATTAGCAATCTCTTCGTGAATGCAGTGACTCCATTGTTGACTTGGGAGTAGCATTGGAGGGCACCCGGGCACTCACAACATTTGAGGCCTTGGGCTTTCGTCGGAGCAAAGTCTTCCAACAAGTCCAGGTGGGCGACATTTCCTGCCAGAGCTTGAATGGACCCAAAACATCCCAACACCACAATCCTCTTGATACATAGCAACAAAAGGTACGACTCCCACTTAGAATATCTTAGAATACTCGATTAGCTTTAGATATATACCATCATATACCTTGTTTCGCTGGTATTGCTTGATATCAACCATCCATTTCTTCACAGGGGACATCGTGACCAACGAGCTGGCTGCTAACAGCGACCGGAGCCACGGAAAAGTTTGTGACCGCAGCATCTCAAGCACAGTGGAGATGGGCAACGGTGATTACAGTTGTGGATTGTGATGACTCCGTGATGATTCGATGAGTCATGAAATTCTATTGGATGCAGTTATATAATATGTTATATAGTCATCTCTTTGAGCTTCTACCAGCGCTGCGGTATATGTATATTGAAATAGGAAGTGGAAGTTTCGCTTCAATGTGGTTCTGATTCTGTCTATGCATGTTTGTGCTCAATGCCCCCTGCTGGCTCAAATCTTGAAGATGATCGGCGCGAAGCACCAGGTTTCGTGCCACGGGGGTCGCTGTTCGTCTCGGGCGGAAGTTGCTGGCACGACTGATCGATGTTGAGCGCGGATGCTTGGGACGCGCTGAGAGAATCTGAGGGATCAAATCTCGACCTGCACGAAACCAGAGTAAAGTTCAACAGTGTCAACCAAATTCCACTGAAGCAAACTGAGTCAAATCACGCCAATTACTGTCGGCTATCTGTCGGCTGTTTGCCTTTCTAAGTCCGTTGTTTTGAGCTGCTTGACAGAGAACAAAGTGGCAGTCAACAAGCAAACCAATCACTTTTCTATACTTTTCTCTACCAACTCTACTAATCCTTGCTGCCTAGGCTGACGAGTGGCCTTGAGGTATCTTGGCCCAGGGCATCAAGGGACTTTCTTTTGGTCAAGAAATGGATGAAACCCTGCAATACCGCGGCAGCACAGTGGTTGAATGCCATCGAAAAGGATACGACAAGACAGGTGGAAGAAGCTTAACTTGCAGAACAAGTTTCAGACGATTTTTAAAGAGTTCCTGAAGAGTTGCTAGCTGCCTCGTGTTTGGGCGTGCCTATTGAGAACCTCCAGCTCCATCCTGTTTGTGCGTAAGATGAAGGTTGGAAGTTTGAACTGGCAGCCTCAGGCGGTCTCTTTCAAGGGAAATCCGCAATCATGCACAAATATCGGCATGGAACTCAGAATTCGTTGATAGTGCAATGCCATGCGACGCATTGCTGGATTTTCATGGGTTCTGCTGAGTACGTTACTTCAAGGTGAATGCCACAGTTTTCCATTTGATATGAGAGGCCAGGTGAACTGCATGCCTCTTTTGGCTTGTTTTTTCCTGCATCGATGCTTGCCCTCTCTTCCCAAGTTTCCAAGTCTTTGAAGGGAAAATCATCAAGGAACAACTGCTGGATTGCTAATTATCACTTTGCCCGGCCACAGTTTTGACCTTTGCTGCAGCTGTCTCTAAACTCAATTCAATTGGACTTCGACCCTTGGTCAATTTTCGCATATCGCCCCAATGGCAGTCTTCAGCAAGATGTCAGGCCGATCCAGCCGTCGTACAGGTGCTGCATCGACCTTGGCCTTGGGAGCTGGAGCTCTGATGCTCAGCAGTGCAGCTTTCGTCGCCCCAGGCAGGATGCCATGTCCCAACATGTCCCAACATGTCCCAACCACGGGCAGAGATGCCATGATAATCATGATATGCCTCAGGTGCCGCACGCCAGTTGCAGCCCCACCTTGGGAGCACCGCGAGCCCAGCGCCTGCAACTCCTGCGGCTTCTTCGAGCACCGGCACCAGCGCCAGCTTTGCAGCTGCCGCGGCCATGGGCGGGGCCACGTTGATGGCCAGCCGCACCAAGGCGCACAAGGCAAAGGCCAGCCGCCAGAGGCACATCGTCTATGCCCAGAAAGACCTCACGGAGTCTGGCCTGGCCCAGCTGGTCGCCTCAGTGCAGGAGTTGCTGCGACATGTTCGTCCTGTCAGCTGTGAGTCGTTGCCAACGGAATCCTATTGGCATTGTGTACAGTGTCGAAATGTGCAGCAGTATGTGGCAGATATAGCAAATATTATATACAGTAGCAGTTTAGCATCATTGACAGACCTTATTTTCATTGTATGAGATAACTGAGAGATAACAGATAACATCTCTTGAAGCTGCCAACGTGCCAACGTGCCTACGTGGTCTTATGAGGTCAATGTGGTCTTGCCTCATCCTTGTTCCTTTCTACGTCAAATTCCATTTGCTTTGAAAAGAACCCCTAAGAATGTTTGCAGGATGTGCTCTCAAGGCCGGGGCAAGGCGATCGTTTGGGCGAGGTGAAAGCACTTGCAGCTGCACTGCGGCCCAACGTGCAGTTGGATGGTCCACTGCGCTGGATGACCAGCCTGGCGGCATCCTTCCTGTTCTCTCAGAGCTTGGCCCTGCAACCTGCGAATGCTGAGGATGTCGTCAACTACTCGGACTTCATCGACTCGGTGATTCGCCATGATTCCGCATGTTTGGACAATTGCATTATAAATTTCATTAAATTTCTATAATATAAATTTCTATATAAATTTGTATATTATCCAAGTTCTTCAAGTCAAGAGGAGTTTTGATGTCTCAGTCCTGAAAAGGCGGCCCAAGTATGGAAAGGAACGAAGTGAAAAGAAAGGTTGCTTTCAAAAGAAGCTTGTTGACAGTCGGTCGGAGGAATTCTCCAAGTTTCCAGTCACCAGCCCCACATTCCAGGTGAACAAGGGCGATGTCGAGATGGTGCGAGTTCAGCCAGACCAGCTTTCTGCCCAGTACATCACCAAAGATGGATCCCGGAGGGAGGTGAACCTGATTCCCAATGTGCAAATTGAAGATCAGCTCTTCAATCAGTTGGCCGAAAAGAAGGTTCTGGGATTCTGGGGCTGGATGATGCTGGTGATGCTGGATGGGTTTCAATGGGGGGAGTTTCCATAATCGGATTCCTGGCGTTTTTGTCCTGGCTGTTGTCCATTGATACACTCGGTTGTGCCTTCAGAGGGATTTGTTGCACTGTTACACTTTTATACACTTTTTATATTGCAGATATTTGTCGATATTGTAGCACAAATTGTCCTTTACCTATGATAGAGAGTCTCGGGCACAAATGTTGAAGTCGTGCGCAAATTGGATATAACAGGTCTGGGTTCTTTTTTCTATTGATATTTAGCAGCCGTTGTGAGTGAAACGAGCGCAAAAAAAAGTAAAACCGGTGCCAATGCCCACAAAAAAATACACAAAGGCACAAAGACGAAAAGTGCTACGCAGTTCATCACAAGGGAGTGTATTTTCGAGCAACCACTTTGGTACTTACATTGCAGGAAACATGAGGAAACAAAGGCAGAGGGAGGTACCTCGGGCAGAAATCTTCAAAGCGATTATATTCTTGGAATCCTGAAAACCCAAGGTCTCAAGAGCACCAACAAATAGTAGAGTACACATTTGATCAAAATTTGTGCTACAATGGAGGCTCTAGGATGGTGCCCGTGACAGGTGGATGTGGTGATGCAGAACGCTGAAGCCGGAAGCCCTTTGGATTTCCTGGCACGCTTTGCTGGTCCACTCGCCTGGTTGGTGGCTGGCTTGTTGCTCCTCTTCGGCGGAGTGGGTGGAGCTGGCCCAGCAGGACCTGGTGGACCAGGCGAGTGTAACGATTGATGTGTGGCCGACTTGCTTTCAATAAGTAATTATATGTTTCCACTGTTGTCGTGTGTCGAAGGGCATTTCATGAGGTCAGAAGTTGGAGACTTCATGAAAGTTTAATCACATACAGTAATGTTAAATTGAGATTGTTTTGCCATGTTTTGCCATATTTTGCCTTTTTCAGACAATCTTGACACATGGACGGTAGAATTATGGGAGCATTGCGTCCAACCAGTTCCCTGTGTCAGGCGGAAACCCATTCGAACTGGGCAAGTCGAAAGCTCGAATCATCAAAGATGGCGACACCAAGGCTTACTGTGCTCCGAATTTCTGGAATTTCTGCCATGACAGGAGTGAAAACAAATGTATTATCTTAATGGAGATCCAAGATCTACCGGAAAGAATGCACATTCAGTAGCAGGTTTTTGAGGGATACTGTCATTCTGCATGCTTCGAGAAAGTCTCTCCAAGACTTTTGATTTGGCATTTCCTGATGCAAAACATCAAGATGCTGTTCATTTATGTCAATTTATGTCCATTTTACTTTCTGTTGACCCTTTCAGGGTTTATGTGGTTCGCGCCTTTTGCATGCTTGTGGATTTTTGTGGATACGTCAGGATGCTTGAGGAACCAAAGGGACCAAACATGTTGACACCATTGCAGGTGAAATTCGGAGATGTCGCTGGCTGTGATGGTGCCAAAACGGAGCTGGTGGAAGTGGTGGATTTCTTGAAAAACGCCTCCAGGCCTTCGGCATCCTTCGGCTATCATAATTATTAGGGGTCAACGTAATAAGCAATGTGACCTGCCCACAGTTGATGTCATTTTGTTGAACATGTTGATGTCGTCTTGTTATGTTTTGTTGATGTTGGAGTTTCCGAGTTTGCTCACATACGGAGGCTGATTTTGATTTTGTTTGAGTCTTGCCACCTTATTTTTTGATACTGCACTTGCTTACTTGGCTAAGCAGCACAACTCTTGGCTTCTATTCAAGTGTGTTCATCCCTGATCCGAAGGCAAACCATCATGCTTGACATTGCTTGACCCTCCATGTGAGCCACTGTGAGAAGCGGTTCTAAACCGGTGGCAGGTATTCCGAGCTTGGCGCAAAGATCCCAAAGGGAGCGCTACTGGTTGGTCCTCCAGGTCCGAGTTCGGATTATTGAAAAACGCGCATTATTTTGAAGGTTTTGAAGCTGGAAGCAACTCCAACAGTTGGAAAAGGCTTAAAAGGTCCATGCAGAAACCCTTATACCTGAAAGGTCTTGCGAACCACATAGCGAAAAACCATGTAGAACATTGTAGAACGATATAATAGTGAACTACCAGAACATATAGCGATAACCTTTGCATCGAGACCGCCTTTGTGAACCTTACTTGTTTTTTCTCATATCATCTCATATCCAAGGCTGTTTGTCTTGAGTCAAAAGATCTGTTGGCCCTGTGGCCGACCTGCGGTTCATTGGTTTTCATCACGGGGTTCGGTGGCAGGTACCGGCAAGACGCTGTTGGCCAAAGCCGTGGCCGGGGAAGCAGGGGTGCCTTTCTTCAGCATTTCCGCCTCAGAGTTCGTTGAAGTCTTTGCAGGAGTCGGTGCTTCCCGCGTCAGGGACTTGTTCGAGCAGGCCAAGAAGTCAGCGCCCTGCATCATTTTCATCGATGAGATGCTCGGATGGAGCTGGAGAGAGGATAGAGAGGATTGTTTCTCCTTGTTTTTCCTAATGTGTTCTTTCTTTTCGAGGGCCTCGGTTGGATTGCCAGTGAAATCACTCTTGAAGTCTTGAAGTGGTGGCTCAGTTGATGTTTGTTGATGGAACTTAGGCATTAAGTCTGTGAAAGGTGGTTGCCAGTTTGTTGCTTGGTTGCCTGCCTGTCATACCAACACACTAGGATTGACGCAGTCGGGCGCCAACGAAGCGCCGGCTTTGGACAAGGCGCCTTGTCGCAAATCTTGTCCCCGGAATAGATGGACACATGGGTGTCCCCCATGTTTCCCATAAGTCAAAGGGGTTTACCTTTTCGCTATAGTTTGAACTACATTATTAAGATTTCTTGAGCAGTTTGTACAAATGGCACTGAAGCATCACGGTGGCACACTGAGGCCATCACTGAGGCCAACTGTGTATAGATTTTTGTTGCTAGGCCATGGTATAACAGACTTGGACTTTCGGCAAGGTTTTCTGGGCAGGTATGAAAAGTGTATTGGCTGAAAAACGGAAAGTGGCATCGGTGTGATTGTCATACTATACGTATTGGTCATATTGCCTAGTTTGCTTATTGTACAAATGATGGCTACCAGCGAAAAGAATTGGCCCCAGAATTGACAATTCATGGATATTTATGGCACTTCAAACCATTTTCTTCCTTATTTTCTCCGCGTTTTTTTCCCTTTTATATTAAGTAATGTCCTTATTGTTCATTTCTCTCTTCATTTTATTCTGTATTTGTTTGCCCTATTTTATCCTATATTATCCTGGTATATCCCGGTTTTTCTTCCCTATTTTCTTCATCATTTTTTCTTCCCTAATTACTATATTATACTTCCTCCTTTTTCCCTTTTTTCTTCCTTCTTTGTCTTTTCTATTTTCATCTACTTTTAGCGTGTTGAGTTCACTTGATGTGTACGTTAGGCAAGATGCTGGGTCACCTGCAAAAGAATTGTAACGATGTTTTCTCATGTTTTGTCTCACTAGTATCAGTATAGTTTACAATTGCTCAAATAATGATGTTCCAAAGTTACAATGTGTCGTAATAGGTCATCACCAATGTCTGTGTCCAATTAATCACAGCCACTGCCCGCAGGAAACGACGAGCGTGAGCAAACGGTGAATCAGCTCCTGACTGAAATGGATGGCTTCGAGAGTAACAAGGGAGTGGTGCCGTGGCACTGAGCTCCCAGTAGTCAGAAAATTCCGCAAACTCTATGGATCATGTAGAAAAAGCAAAGCAAACTCTATGGATCATCTTACATCATGTTACATCATGTTACATAGGAATGGCTGGAGAAGTGTTACTTCAAAGGCATTCGCTAAATAGACGACCACATCACCACATCTCTTCGTGAGTTTTTTAAACTTGGTCCAGTGAGATCATTTGACCAGCTTTTCCAGGGAATCCCCAAAAACCCACATCTTTCGCAAGGGATACCATGGGATACCCTGATTCAACCTGGCATGACACATATGACACACTAGAGGGTGGTGTTTGATGTGTTTGGTGCTGTTCGTTTGATGTTTTTGATGATCCAATTTATATCCAATTTATGCATTCTTTATGCACGCTTTCGCCTGAGGTGGTAATTGCAGCGACGAACCGTGCGGACATCCTGGATCAAGCGTTGGTTCGCCCGGGCCGCTTTGATCGTCAGATCCAGGTGGGCAATCTATGGCAATCAACGGGTCATTCTGTGGGTATGACATGACTCTGGGGACTCGGATCTTTCACGGCTCAGATTTCTCAGATTTCTCAGGTCGATCCTCCAGATGTTCAGGGCCGATACGAGATCCTGAAGGTCCACGCCAAGGGCAAAAATTTGGCCCCTGGAGTCGACTTGTTGGCTGTCGCGCGCCAGACCCCTGGCATGTCAGGTGCGGGACGTGGGATTTGCAGGGATGGGATTGGACGAGAGACTGCTGCGCATTGATGTTTTGCGGTTGAGCAGAAGCTTGAAGGAGGTGCACCAACCAAGAAAGCAAGATGAGAGGAAATATCATGAGAGGGATCAGTTTTTGCCTTTGTCATGATGTAATCACTTCATCCTTTCATATCCTTTCTATACATCAACTTCAGTATTTGCTTGAAATAGAACTTCCGGTCGAGGTGCAGACCTGGCCAACTTGTTGAATGAGGGTGCCATCATGGCGGCGCGAAAAGCCAAAACCGAGATGGATGCTGATGATGCTTGGTAATTTTGATGAGATTGATGAGGGTTTTTGAGTACCCAAGACATCCCAAGACTCAAGACAGTATTCTGATGTATTCTGAATTTATGGAGTGCCAATCCAAAAGTCCGACTCTGTGTTGGCCCATGTTGGCCCGTTACTTTTTTGTGCTGATGGTCTGGTGTTCAAATGTTTGGTAGTTAGCCGAGAGCGTGCTGAAACAGGTCAGAGGTTTTGTTTCGAAGAAGGCCATGCATAGTGCAGTGTAGGTTGGAAACCTACAAACAGAAAAATATAGAGATGCCAACGTGTCCAAAGATGTTCAGAAATTTTATTTCACAAGTTTGCATTGATTTTGGAGGGATCGTCTAGTGTTTGCGTTCATTTTGCGTTCTTCAGGATATCTTCAACGCACTGGAACGCATCGGCCTGGGCCTGGAAAAGAAGGATGCGGTCATGTCGGAGAAGAAGAGAAAGTTGGTGGCGTATCACGAAGCAGGCGCACTGGCTGGTGTATACCCTTATTCAATCTCACTCAGCATGGTGCATCCAGATCGCAATTCACAAGCAAAGATAGCAAAGAGACACACGCACGCGCATGCACAGATATTGTACACTCTACACAGCTATAGTGGGGAAAAACATGCATATCAAGATTTGACCTTTGCCTTTGACGGGGGTTAGGTCATGCAATCTTGGGTGCGCTGATGAACGACTACGATATGGTGGCAAAAATCAGCATCATTCCCCGTGGTCCTGCTGGCGGAGTGACTATCTTCATGCCCTCCGAAGAGCGTTTGAACTCAGGCTAGCTGCGTTTTGCCCAATCCACAGTCCTCGGGTTCAAAGTTTCTAATCATTGTCTAATCATTGTCTAATCATGACTTCTTCCACCCTAGCCAACAGATCGATCTATCTCCGCATCTCCACATCCACATGCCACTGAAGTATTGAAGAACATTGAAGAACATTGAAGAACATTTAAGAACATTGAAGAACATTGAAGAACCTTGCGTGCCAGCCGTGCCAACCGTGCCAGCCATGCCAGGCCTCTACTCCAAGGAGTTCTTGGAGAATCGCATGTGTGTGGCACTAGGTGGACGCCTGGCCGAAGAGATCATCAACGGCAAGGACAACGTGACGACCGGAGCCTCCAATGACTTCCAGCAGTGCAACTCGTTGGTCAATGGCTACTGATGGCTACTGTACCAGCTGAGCTCGCATGGTTTCATGTTAAGACTGTTAAGACTGTTAAGTAGTGTGCAAATACACGGAAAGATGCGGAGCAAATCGCCCAATTATTGTTAAAGATGGGCTCAAGATGGTTTCAAACGGTTGAAATATGTTCAGTTTGTTAGAATGTTTCTTGGTCTCGCATGACACTATGATGAATATGAAACAAAGAGGTGGTCAATAGGGAGTCAGTGTGCTTGTGATTCCATTCTTGAACATGGTGATTCTCAATTGTTGCACACACACACACTCACCATACCACAATAATTAAACAGGGAACTGCAGCGCATAGCACCGCTACAATTAAATATATACAATTAAAACAATACTTAAAGATATAGTTATTTCAAGGATGTTCAAGAACATGTCCACAATCAACCAGATTTTCACCGTTGATTGATTCAGTTTTGATTTCTAGGTGAACATTCATCCAACATGCTCTGACCCATCCTATATTACTGTTTTATGATGTTTTATGTATTTTTATGTTTTCATCATGACATCGCGTGAAGCCTGCTTGATGATCACTTGGGAATAATACAGTCCAATATACAATCCCTACCTTTGCCATGGCCCGGCGCTTGATTACTTGAGATTGTCCCTGTCATGCAATGTTCCAATATGTTCCTCTTCCCAATCATCCCAATTCCGCTGAAAGATCGAGGTACTCAGGTCGCCAAGCAAATGGTGATGCAACTGGGCATGTCGCCCGAGATCGGCCAGCGCATGTTGGGTGGTCAGCAGGGTGGTGGGCCCTTCATGGGTCGCGACTTCATGGGACAAGGTGCTCCTCCCATGTCGCAGGCGCTGAAGCAAAAGGTGGATGACGAGGCGCCAAAAACTCAATGACCAAGACGATCCCAAACGAAATTGTTAGTGCCTTTGTAAATTTTGTAATAAATTATTGGTGGAACATGGACTGCTAGATGAACAAGCATTTATCAAATGCTCCCGGAATGACAAGATCTCTGAGTTTGATGCTTGCAGAGCGGGGCTTACCAACGCCGGGTGACGCCGCACCTAGTCCTTGAATTGTGAGGTGAAGCGCATCGTGGATGAGCAGTACCAGCGAGGAATGAAGTTGCTCAGAGACAACATGTATTTGTTGGACGAGTTGGCAAAGATGCTCCTGGAGCAAGAGAAGGTGTCAGGCCGGGTCCACATGTCCACATAGTAAACAGAAATCATCAGTGACAGGTTCAAAATTTTGACAACAGTTGCAAGATATCAATGAATGAACAGTTGCACGATGACTGAACAGGACTCAGCGTAGTGACTTTTCAAGATGTCGTTGTAAGATGCTGCACGAACACTTGCAGGACAACGGTGTGAGGTGAACAGGGTGCATTTCCACGGCTTTTTGGCATGTGTTTGGGATATCCCGGATATCCCCAAACTGCCTTTGGCAGGCGAAGAGCTCATCAAGCTGATCAACAAGGCAGCAGTAGATGGCGACTTGCCAGAATAGCCAAGGTGTCTTTGGACCTTTGGACCACAAAGATAGAGTCTTTTGGAGTCCTGACATGGTGTTTGCTTGGGGAAGTCCAACAGACTTGTGTGATACAACATGTTATGCTTTTGTCTTATTGACACAAATGTTGTCATAAATTTGTGCTTCCAATACTCCTAAGTCTAATGCTGTCAGAATGCCAAGCTTAAATCATATGTCATGCTGCAAGTTTCGTAGATTCTGGAAGATTCGGGAGCCCTACAGGTAAGCTGGCCGTGGACAACAAACAGATGGCCTTTGCCGCCTACACTGGTGAAGCGGTTCAACCGGCTGGAGACAACTCCAAGGCAAGTCAACCTGGCAAGATGCGTTGTGGGTTGTCCTTGGGAAAGGTTTCAACGATTCGATTCTCTGTACTGTACTAGTCATTCTAGTCATTTCTAGTCCTTTGTGCTTGCAGAGCTTTCGAACATTCTGTTCCGTCACAGGATCAGATTGGCAAGATGATTCACTTCGGTTTGAATTTGCACAGAACACATATGAACACATCATAAAACATCGGAAACTTTCAGAGCATCATCCTTCCATATTCATTCATATTCCATGTTTGAAATAGCATTCCATGTTTAAATAATAGCATGTGGATGTACATTGGCATGTCATGGCATGTCAAAGGCAACGATTCACAGAGCTGGCCAGGTGGCTGCCAGGGCACGCCTTCCACAGCCGACCTCCTTGGTGTCCGGTGGTTTCTGCGGAACCACAGGCTGCGTCCATGGTCGTGTGGACGATGTAGTGGACGATGTTTGCGTATTTGCCAAGAAGTGGAATGACTTGATGATGACAGAAAGTAATGGAAAATTGAAATATATTGAAATATGTTGAACCTGTGTGTTTAATCATCTTTCAGTGGTTTTCAGCTGAAAGATCCCATGTTCTGTCGAGAGGGAGAAATACAATATTCAGTGATATACATGAAGAAGAATCATGAAGATATGATGCTGATATGATGCTGATAAAACTCAAAACTTCGCCAAGTTTTGTTGGGTCGGTTGTCGCGCTCCTTGGTGTAGGTGCAGCTTCACGTTCGGCTACCAGCCGCCGTGCCATCGCAAGACTCGGCTTGGCAGCCGACAAGGCGGATGCGCCAGCCACCAGCGAAGAGGACGGGGACTGGGAAGACTGGGCAGACTGAGCAGACCGGGGAGCTGACGCCAATGGACCCGCTTGTGATACCATGTGTGAATATGTGTGATACCACTTGCCACGTGGTTGCACGTGTTCTAGCCTCTTGACAATTCTGTAACTAGAGAGCTGGTCAAGTCCGTTGAAACTTCACGTGAACATGTGTCGGAAGCAGACGCCTCTTGCCGGAGGTCTTTGACAGTGTGACCAAGATGGCCGCAGATGTGTCCAACGGCGCCGCATTGCCAAAGCAAGTCGTGCAAACAGCTGCTTTGCAGACGCTGGTTGCTTGTATGATAAGAAGTTAACTTCTGCTGCTGACAACTTTTTCGCAAGCCATGAGATGCTTTGGTTTCGATGTTTTTGAAGCACTTTTGCAAAAATGAGGATAAATATGGATAAATATGGAATAATGAGGTAAGCGGTCAACGATATTATTTAACTAATCCAAGTTGGCAAGTCCCCCAACGAGCCGGTTCTTTCCATGTGCAGTCCTGTTTGGGTTTCCTAAGTTCCTAGACTTCGACCCACACACGAGGTCGCGTTGGCCGCCACCGCAGCGCCATTGCCGGCCCTGGCCGATGATGTCGTGCCACAGCTTCAGCCCATCGGACAGATGCAGCCGGCGAGCCAGATGCAGGTCACGGGGCGAGTGACGTACTCGCGTTTCTTGGAGACTTGGCACATTTTGGCGTCATTTAGCATCACTGCAGGGTGGTCCACATATCCACAACATTCCACAACAACATTTCACTAGCGGGGATTCGGATGTGTTAGAAGAGAACATACGCTTACAGAGGTGAAGGTGGATGGAAAATTAGCAAAAGACTGGTGAAATTGATTGCATGCTCAGTCGGGCTTTGCAACAATAATGGGAAAGAGAATTCAGAAAAATTCGATCAATTGTTGTTGGATCTGTTGCTGCAACAATTGCAAGTTGACGAGGAGTTCATCGATGACGGTTCAGTGAAGCGCGTAGACATCTACGACATGGGCAAAACAGCTGTGGCCACAGTGGACATCGCTGGCCGAAATCAGGAATTAGTCTGTGATTTGCCAGGAGCTTCAACAGGAGAGGATGGAAGCCTTCAGACTGTTGTTGGGACTTGGGGAAGATTGCTGTGATGCTACTTCATCCTGCAGTGACAGGATAGACCCCCCATTGCACCCCGAAGATCCCTGAGGTAGTCATGTTTCCATCTTTCCGAACTTCACTGGTATGAATCAAGATGTCACCATATCTTTCCTGTTTGGGTTCCATTGATATCTTTTGCCACCAGTTGTTGCCACCAGTTGTTGACATGCCTACTGTTGAGAGCCTGACTCATCGCTGAATCATGCGGTTTCTCCATGCCCAAAGTCCCAAAGAAGCTTCATTCCACTCCGCGCACTCCGGGGTTGCTTGGGCAGGAGTCATTGCCAAGCTGGTCGACAAGAATGTTGCCATCGACGTCCATCAGCCGGAGAAGCCAAACCCTTTTCTCCGCACGCTGGGCGATGTGGCCTTTCCACTCTTGACCATTGCAGGCATCCGGGATTGCTGCAACCTACAATGCAGGTATCTTTTTGTAACTCCCATTTGCGCTCTAAATATATCTAAATAATGTTGCAGCGAAAGGTGACTTTGCCACTTTTTGAACATGGATAAGGTATGTCAAAGAATGAGACAGGAATAGAACAGATTGAAAAAAGATGAAAACAGGATGCAAACAGGTATATAAGATAATTGCAAGATATTATAAGTTATATAAGAAGTACGAGAACCCCATGATTCAATGAACTGAACTCAGTACAGTGTTGCTGCGCACCTTGTGACAGTTGTGAATATTGTGAATGAATTGGTAGACTATGGTAGACTGGTAGACACAATGAACTGGCCTTTATTGAACTTTATTGTGAGCCTTGCGAGGCTTGCTCTTCTTGCGCTCCCAGGGAGGTGGTGCTGGTGCTGGTGGCATTCCCGGACTGGGAAACCAAGGCAAGGCACAGATCATGATGCTTGGCATCGCTTGGCATCGCTGGGCCGTGGTGGTCCATGGCCTTGGAAGATTTTTGAAGATCTTGGAAGATCTTGGAAGCCAGTGTGAAGAATTGTGAAGTTGGAGGCAAATCATATCAAATCATGGTAATGGGATGTAATGGGATTGTATTGAAAGGGGAGTCGTGCAACATCGTGTAACACATTTGATGCATTCAGGGAGAGGCTGCATTGAGCTTGCCATGAGGATCGAGCCTGAAACTGGTGTGAAGTTTGAGAACGTAGCTGGCATCGATGAAGCAAAGGAGGTGAAACGCGGGAATAAATATAATAAATGTGTGAAACACTGCAAAGCAATGGCGATCCAGATTCGGTTATGGACAAATATATATATATATATTGTATATATATATATGATTAGCATATTTTAGCACTAACACCAGTGGTTGATGGATGTTGATAGATTTCATGTGTTAGGCCGCGGCCTGTAGTTTGGACTATTAACATCTATTAACAGTGCATGAAGTGGAGCACCACGATCTTGTGGAGCATTCTTTGCATTTACTTGTAGTGCTTTGATCAGCTTTGCCTCACATGTCGAGTAATGGAAGTCATGCAAGTCATGCAAGTCATACATTGAGCCTTTGGCGTGCCACTTTTCTTGAAAGGACAATTGTATCATTTGTATCAAGAATTGCGAGCCAACGAAGGGTTTACCGGGTCTCAGTGACAGGAGTTGATGGAGATCGTTGACTTTCTGAAAGCTCCGGAGCGCTTTGTGAAGGTCCCGTGGTTTCGCCAGTGCAGCTGTCGTGCCGTTGCCCCTTTCGTGATCCGGATGACTCGATGACTCAGAAAGGTGTATACATTACTGATCATTACTGTATAAATTGATATAATTTGTATAAACCACTTATAAACCTCCAATCATGCATCATCCACTGGGAAAAGTTATGAAATGTTATATGAAATGTTATCAATAATGTCAATAATGTTGATGTTTAAATGATGTTGAGCTGCAGTTGCTGCCGCTCTTCCTGTTCTTGTTGGCCAGCAGCCGTGAAAGATCGACCATAGGACCTTACTATAGGAATCACTTTTTTCTTCGACCATAGGACCTTACCATAGGAATCACAATGCATTACTTTTATGATCTTTTATTATCTATCCTTTCAGCTCTGTTTGTGTTCTTGTCAGGTCGGTGCAAAGATTCCTCGTGGTGTCTTGCTCACTGGCCCTCCCGGCACCGGAAAGACTTTGATGGCCAAGGCTCTGGCAGGTGCCGCGGTTTCCACCATGTTCCACCTCTTGAACCTTTACAGAATTGACTCACCGTCATTGAGGTTAAAAAAAACACCTGTCCTGGATTCTGATGGTGAAGTTTTTACAAGCCCACTCCTGAGCCACCATGGCTCAGAGGAAGAATACAACATAATACAACCAGTTTCACAACCAACAGCTTTGCTTCAGTACAATTTACGGATATTTACGGTACTTCTTTCAAAGGACAGTTTTTCCCTGTCGTGATTTTATCCTTGACCCCGAGACATGATCAGCCATGACCAGCCATGACAGCCACTGGACAGCAGGTGAGGCTGGAGTGCCTTTCATCCAATCCTCTGCCTCCGAATTCATCGAACTCTTCGTTGGGGTTGGAGCTTCGCGCGTCCGCGATATCTTCAAGCAAGCCAAGGTGCTGATGGTGCTGATGGTGCTGGGGGATTGGGGGATTCAGACTTGGGGATGGCTAACAGAAAGGTCATGGTGACCCATGGTGACCCATGGTGACCCATGGTGACCCATGGTGACCCATGGTGACCCATGGTGACCCATGGTGACCCATGGTGACCCATGCTCACCATTGCTCACCCGACCGGTTCCCACACTGCAGGTGAAAGAGAGCGCCCAGAGATGTTCAATATTTCAAACTTCAGACCTGACAAGTTGCTTCTACTCACATATACTCACATCTACTGACTATATCTAGGAACATCTAAGAACATCTAGGAACATCCAGGAACCTTTCTCCACACCCCAGGCCCAGCATGTGTTCTTTTGATTTCTTTTGTATTTTGATCTGTTTGGATCCATAATTTGTTGCAACCTTCACCTGGTTGGGAGATCTGACATGATGACCCCGCACGAAAGGAGAAGTCGCCCTGCATTGTTTTCATTGATGAGATTGATGCTATTGGACGACAGCGAGGTGCTGGCATGGGTGGTGGAAATGATGAGCGGGAGCAGACCCTCAATCAGATGCTTTGCTGAAATCCTGACATGACTTGTACCATCGAACGTATCCATCCTCTTGATTTCAGAACCACTTTTTGGAATCTTCAACGGCTTTGGAAGCAACATAAGATGCAACTAGAGCTGCAGAAGGGAAAGCGCAACAAGAGATTTCAAAAGTTGGAAGATATTTTGCAGCGACATTACAGTACTTGTCCCTGCTTTTCCTATCCTGTTCTGGAGAGATTGCCGAGAGAAAGTCCTCAAGTCCTCTAAAGACCGTTCCTGGATTCCTGGATGTTCCTGGATCATACTGAGGATCCTGACTGAAATGGATGGCTTCGAAGGCAACAGCGGTGTCATCGTGGTGGCAGCGACCAATCGTTCTGACATCTTGGACAACGCCCTGCTGCGGCCAGGGCAATTTGATCGTCGCGTGACCGTGGGCTTGCCGGACGTGAAGGGCCGGGAGCAGATCCTCAACGTGCACATCCGTAACAAGAAACTGACTGAGTGCACCACTCTGACTGAAATCGCCAAGAGAAGCTTGGGTCGAAAGATGTCGAAAGGGATCAGCTTCAACATGTCTTAACCTGTTTTTGATATATTCTGTCGAAAGGGATTTCAGTATTCTGATATATTCTGATCTTCTTTCGTCGAGATGATCCTCGATCATTCCTTTGAACTGACAAGACAGTAATCATTATCATATATTATCACAGATTATCAGAATTTGACCACACCACACACTGCCACACACCCATTGGTTTAGGGCACCGGACTCTTAGGAACTGCCGGCTTCAGCGGTGCTGACTTGGAGAATCTGATGAACGAGTCTGCCATCCTTGCGGCTCGGCGCAACAAGACGGCCACTGGGCTGCAGTGATTTGTCAGTGCCTGTGATATCTGTGATGCGCAGTGATCATGGCATATTTATTTATATATATATTTATTGCATCTGGGATCATCTGGGGATACTGAGGATGGTGCGGTTCTGGATTCATCCACAATTCTGTCTCTCACGTTTCCCATTTTCCACAGTGTAAACTTGTGTAAACTTGTGTAAACTGGTGCATTCACCGGAAGTTACACCTCTCCCAGATACCGGTAGTGCGGCACATTGCCCGTAGGATCCGTAGGATTGCTGTGTTGAGGCCATCACCATGGATGAAATCAATGATGCCACGGATCGCGTCATTGCGGGCTTGGAGGGACGACCGTTGCAGGACGTGTTGGTGTTTTAATGCAGGCTGCAGGCTATTGCAGGCTACCAGGTGGGCTATACAGTGAACATGCCTAAGGCATCCGAAGGCATCCGAAGGCGTAGAATAAGGTAAGAAAAGGTAAAGCATGGTGTAGCATGGTAGAACTGCCCCGATTTCTGCCTGTTCAATGGCATCGCATGGCATCGCATGGCATCGACATGCCTAGCAGGATTTGCTGTGCTTTATAGATTGACAACGATTGACTTAAGTTGACATACAGTACATATGTACATATTGAATATATTGAATCCAATTTGTATGGATTTGTCATGTCTGTCAGCTTTATCAGCCTTGTAGGACAACGCTTCGAAGAAGCTCATCGCCTACCACGAAGCGGGCCACGCCATCGTGGGTTCTTTGCTGCCGCATCACGATGCCGTCAATAAGGTCACCGTGATCCCCCGCGGTCAGGCACCATGGCATTATATTATGGCATTCTGTGGGAAATCGGTTGAAATCGTCATGGTGACATGGTGACATGGTGAATGTAGGTGGGCTCTGGGTCAGCGGCTGCAGAATCTCAAGTTTGGACCTTTGAACTTCGGCAGTGAACTGATCCACCCATTCAAAATCATCAAGATATATCAAGATCATGTGTCTACGTTTGTCAATTCAATCACACAATGGTATGTCCTGGTACGTCCTGGTACGTCCTGGTATGTGTAGTTTCCAGCTCAAGGATGCAGATCATCAACCAATCTCAGCCCAATTCTTGTTGCGCAATGTGCATATTTCATCAACTTTGTGGCGTGAATTCAGCTGAGGCAAAGGGACTTACCTGGTTCACACCTGGCGAAGATCAGAGCTTGATCTCTGCTGCTATGCTCAAGGCGGCCTGCCACTTGGGAAACGCATGGGAAATGTTGAAGGGTGCCAAGTCAGGGTAGGAGAGCTGAGATTAGGTTTGGAGGTGGGACCTCCGAAAAGACAGAACAATCATACTAGATCATACTAGACTAGACCGCTTTAAGAAGCTGACATGTGCAAAGTCATGCAAAGTCTCAATGCACAATGACTCCTGACATCAATTCGATATTGAAAGATCACTTCTCAGCTGCCATCCGCCAGGCACGCATTGCCGGGGCCCTGGGTGGCCGTGTGGCGGAGCAGTTGGTCTTCGGTGCTTCACAAGTGACCACGGGCGCTGGGGGCGACCTGCAGCAGGTGGAGCGAATGGCTCGCGCCATGGTGACGCAGTTCGGGATGTCCGAAGCTGGGACTCACAACGCCAGAACCCAATATTTATGTAATACAGTTAATAAATTAATATAAATTATAATAAATTGTTAACAATCATTACTATGTGTAGTATTAATGTAATACATATTAATACATTGCAATATACTAATTGATCTAATTGGAACATCTTTTTATATAACCTTCACATATTTTTACACATGTCTATATATATATGGTGTCATCTATGTCATCCAGCTATGCAATAAGTTTGTAATTTTTTTGGGTATATTTGGGGTCCAAGCAACTTTGTGATGGGGAGAAATGATGTTTTACGCTCGCTTTGAAAGACTGTGTCTTCGAATGTCTTGGAATGTGCTGGAATCAAACCTTTTTGCACCACTCCCAGGATGTGGGCTCCATTGCGATTGATGATGGTGGCTTTGGAGGCCCCAACTACTCAGAAGATTTGAATTTCAAGATCGACCAAGCTATCAAGGATGCTTGGCCACTACTTGCATGAACCTGCTGATAACTTGCTGATAATCTGCTGATAACCTGCTGATAACCTGCATCAATGTCCTGGAAATGATTGGCTGGGACAGACGTGGGAATATAGTCTGAAGATGTCTGAAGCATTTTGTAAAGCATTATTTCTATTTATTTCTGCAGTTTTTGGCAGATAGATAGTGGTACATAGTGGTACTAGATGGTATTAGTACATGATGTACATGTTGCTCTGGGTAGAGATTGGACAGGCCATCACTTGAAACCGCCGATCTTTGGACGCCCGAGCAGGATATCTCTGACGAGTGCTTCATGACTGCCTGGAACCTTCTGAACACTCATCGAGATTCTTGGCACAATCCGACGAAAATCATAAGTTGGTTGGAAGATCGGAAAGTACATCAGGTCGCAGTTCAGTATTCTTGAATTATTCTTGTGCATGTCTCTAAAATTGGGTCCTAGACAGGTGGTGCCTTTTCTGTGTTTTTTCAATTCCAAACCAGCGCCGCAACCAGGATTGCTTGGACCGAGTTGCAGAAGAACTTTGTGAGGCTGAGACCATCACCGGAGATCGCCTGCGGGAGATCATTGGAGAGTACACCACAGTTCCTCAAAAATTGGCTGTCGTTTGAAGAGCGGACATTCCAATGGCCCAGGGGTTCCACCTGTGAGCCAGGCACGCATTGCTTGGATTTTCTTCGTCTCAAGACTTTATTTTGAGACAGAAATGTATCTTCCATGATCTTTTGCGATGCATGTTTCCAAATTTGCACAACATTGTGATTACCATACGGGCAGTCAAACTGCCATGGAATGTGTTTAGAGGCAAAACCTACTCTGTACAGATTCCATCAGATTCCTCTACAAAGAGCAGAGGATTTGGGTTTCGAAAATTTCACCAGCACCGCACAGCACCTCACAGTGGATGCCTGTTGCGCTTGATGCTGGATTTTGTTTCTCAGCTGGGCTGCAATTGCAGCTCCAACGCTCTCACCATCTTCGTGCAAGGACAATACCACCACGAACTGTGAGAGCAATGCCACTGGAAGGATTGCTAAGCAGATTGGATCAGATTGGACTGTTTATTTCATGTTATCAGCAGTTGGTGGTTTTGACTCTTTGCACCCATGTGAAACTGGGCGTTCTCGACTTCAATCAAAGCAGTCGCAGACAGCCGCTGGTTCCAAACTCTGGTAAGAACAGCAGAGATCGGTGAAAACAAGGCAGTGTGGGCAGCATAGGCAACATAGGCAGCATAGTATCCAGGTGCAGAGGATAGAAAAGGATGTTCCAGGTACTTAAACAATTTAAACACGATGTTTCACGTGTTTCCTTCGAACGTTACCTGCAAACGTGAGGAAACATGTTGCCAACATTTGCCAACCTGGGCCCCAGGTCAGGTCTCCGCCTATTTTGGAGCCTTTCTGTTTCGTTACTTTTTTCCCTCCTGCGAGATTCAGGCTTCAGGAAAGATAGGCAGATTAGGCAGTCCCACAGGATCCATTTTTTGAATGTTCATCGATTCATCAAGTTTCTTTCCCATTCGTTTCTATCAGTCTCCACACATCTCCACACAAGGTGAAAACTTGATGTTCTCCCCTGGCTGTTCACCCAAATTTCCTCGGGGCTTGCTGAGGCTCATTTCAAAAAAGGGCGAAGGCACCTTCTCAGAGGTGTTGAAGGCCCGGGATTTGGCGCGGCGACACTCCTGGGACGGTCGCACAAAACACGATCAGCTTGCGCTGCAAGCTGTGTGAAAGTGTCAGCTGTAGCCACATTTTTCCTTTTGCCTACATGTGGTGAGCATGCTAACAACAGCATTTCCACCGCTATTCCATGGGCTCAGGGACCCCTTTAGCCAGCAGTTTCTTTTAGAGAAACGTGAAGGCAACGTGTTTTGCCGGCGCCATAGCGGTGCCCCGACTTCAAAAGCCTGAGACACTTAGGCGAGGTGCCAAAACAACTGAGGTGCGACCTGACCGATTGCAACTTGTCTTTGGCTGAAGCGTTACCAGTGTCACACCGACACTGGTAGCGGAGCTTGCAAAGCTCTGCTGCGACTGGCGGGAAGCTCTACGAGCTGGACTAGTTGGAGCAGGTGAATTCGATCCAGGAGACCTGAGAGGTGTGTGGCACAACGTGAGCCTGGACTTTGCGATCAAGATCTACCTGGACTTTTTGGACCCACTACATCATTGCCTTTGACTTCACAGAGATCAGCTGCTGCTTGTTTGGTGGAAGCGGTGTTCTTTGACTTCAGGCTGGGCAGAGTGGGCGACGCAGATTGACAGCTGTGGGAGTTGCAGTATAACCCATTGCTGTGGGAGACGCAGAATTTCCACACCATCCTTGCTGCGATGGACGACGGCAAGGGATTGCAAGTGAGATGTGCCTGGGATGGAGACCCTTGTCGACTACATCAGAAAGGTCAGACTGACCTATGAAAAGACCAGGCACCGCAAAAGGAAGTACCTAGGTCCGGAACTGGCCGCACAGCTCACCGGCCGGGCCTGGGTGGTGACTCAGGAGATTGACCACCGAAGATTGGTCGACAACGATGGGGCGCGATTCCTTGTGGAGTTCCTGGAGGAGCGTTTGGGACGTGTGCCAGTTCCAGATGCTGGCACGAAAGCGGAGGAGCTCTTCGTGAAGATGCGCCGACCAGTTGGCATGACCATGGCCAGCTGGTGTCACAAGGTTCGAGAAACCTACAGAGGCTTGCAGCGAGCCCTGAAGCGTGCGAGAAAAGAGCAAGGTGAAGATATCACCTCGGCACCACCTGAGTCTCCAATGTCAGGAGGTTCAAGACGTCGAGATGCTGCACCTTCAGCACCCACTTCACCTAGTTCCTCAAGGAGAAGGTCTAGCAAAAGAACAGTGGAAGAACCGGAAGGTGACACCACGCCTCAACCTGCCGTGACACCCACTTCACAGAGGCCTTCACCAACATCTCCGATGCCTGATGGTGGTGATGCTCCACATGGGAGAACGGATAGTGAAGTGGAAGCTGAACTTGAGAGAAAAGGAAAAGGCCGTGGCGCTCAGCGACGGCGTCGGGCTGAGGACTCCGACACGGAGACCGAGGACATCTTGGAGGGCTTGAAGGTGTGGGATGATTTGGATAGCCATCTTCCTGATGTTCTACCACCCGAACTTCTTGGCTGGTTGATGTTGAGGAGGTGCTCATTGAGTCCCCAGCAGCGCCTCAACATCTTGTCCACGGTGGGCAACTCTTTGAAAGCTGAAGACATAGAACGTGGACTTCGAGGTGCTGAAGAAGAACTCCGTCTGACCGAACGAGAACCTCATGGAAAAGGTGGTGGCAAGAAAGGCCGACCGGTCTTTTGGATGGAGCAAGGTGGCGAGTGGGCTCTTCTCAACGCCATGGAAGAGGACATGGAGGATTGGCTACAAGATGCACACTGGGTGGGAAGCACATCTGACCTCGCTTCCAACTACGGCGTGCTTGGATCTACATCGACCTCAACTTTGCCGAGTTCCTCTGGTGGTGGCGATGGCGATGGCACTTGGTTCCAGGACTTGGATGGCAGCTACTCTTGGTGGGACTTGGATGCTGAGTCTGGGGAGTACTACCACCACGATGCAGCTGGAGCGTTTTGGGCATGGAGCGACTGGGAGACGATGCAGTTCCAGTCCTACTTTTCTGAAGATCAACAACGAGAACTGGCTGACGCCTATGCTGCCTATGAAGGGAAGCTGCGTTCCTTCACTGACTCAAGGAACCTGGTGTACCAACGCCAATCCAACAGAGGTTTCTACCCAAACAAGGGTAAGGGCAAGAACAAGACCAAGGGCAAACCGAGACCAACTCAGAAAGGTGGCAAAGCAGGTTCGGCAATGGCAGCCGATGCTCTTGCTGTGGGTACCCCAGGGTACACTGGGTGCTTCATCTGCGGCCCCAAGGATCACGAGTTCAGATCCTGTCCAAAGAGGTCGCAGTCTGGCACCAAGTCCAAGGGCAAGGGCTCTGGCAATGTCTATGTGGCGCAGGCGTTGGGGGATCAGCACAGCTTCAACGTGTACGCTGGTGTTCCTTCCTCGACGGCACGAGGAGCATCTTCTATGAGTTCGACATCTGCTGCAGCGAGTGGTGCAGCCCCTGTGAACATCTATGCGGTCCATGCTGAGCCTGACACCCAGTTTGACATTCCTGGTGTCATCTCTGAGATGGTTGGACATGTATCTCAACCTGATGTTTCTGGTTTTGCAGTGATTGATACTGGTGCCACGGAAACCATCACATCCTTGGAAGCCCTTGAGTTTGTCATCAACAAACGAAGACAACGATTTGGTGTAGAACATGTACAAGTGATAGATCGCCCCCAAAAGGTTTTTCGTTTTGGAAACGGCCAAACTCAGACTTCAGAGAGCTTTGTTTTGATTTCTCAGACCATGGGCACCTACCAGATTTTTGTCGGTGCTTTCACACTTGATGCCCCAGGCGTTCCACTGCTGCTTGGGATCCGTAGTCTGAGCAAGTTAGGGGCCATCTTAGACTGTAGCCGAAGTGTCATGGTTCTCAAGTCAGTTGATGCAACGTTGATGATACCTTTGAAAAAGTCTCACACTGGTCATTTGCTGATTGACTTGTGTGACAACTGGCTTGAGGGAGGTTCCCGAATCTTTTACGGCGACAATTTGAACGTCTCTGAGAAAAAGATCGCCTCAGCTGCTTCATCGTCTTTCATGGTCAATGAGATTGAAGGTGACATAGGCATCACTCATGAAGGTTCACAAGGTTTTTCAGAACATGGAGGGCATGACACACATGTTGCAGCTGCACAGCCGTTGGAACCAACCGAAACAGTTTCAGCAATTTCATCTTCGTTTTTGAGTTTGATGAGTGAGAATGAAAAGAAAGATTTTGAGAAAGTGGAATTGGAAGATCAGAGCGAATGGCTAGCTGATTTGTTTGCAGTTCGTTTAGAACGTCTTGGAAATCCCTCTGAACTGCAACCCTCATCTTCCTCTTCCGCTGCAGTTGCTGACGACCAGGACATGTCCCTGAGGACTCTAGCTTGGTTAGCAAGTGCCCCTCTACTTCTCGCTTCGACCAGCCTTGGCCATGTCGTCCAGTGGAACCAAGGTGAAGGAGAAGACCACTGCCACAAAGAACGGGGACAAGGGCAAGGACGAGAAGTTCGATTGGTCCCGGCAAACGGGGCCGGATCCACGAGATCCAAGGAATGTTGGCCCGCCGTGCATGGGCAGTCACGACCCAGCTCGCCCCGGCAGAGGCTCTCCGTCAGGGTCGAACGCCCACGGGTGCTGGACGGCCTGCAGCCGCTGCAAGATGCGCCTCATGTATGTGCCCGCGTTTGGGGCACATGCCCTGACGCGCAAAGCCGGTGCACTTCCGGCGAATGTCGAAAAGCAAGTTCAAGAACTGGGCAACGAGGCAGCCTACGACTCCAAGCTGCGGGACAAGGACATCGGCCTGGATGCTGCGGAACGAAGCTGCATGGCGAAGCTGGAGAAGATCAAGCTTCAGAAGGCCGAGTACCACAAGGAGAAGAAGCCCGAGATGGCACAAGGGCCGATTGCCCCACAGCCAAAGGCGAAGATTCCGCCGACGGCGACAGTGGTGAACTTGGAGGAGGCCGACAACGCA